CTATATATTCAGCAAACTCGCTAACAGCTGCTACACTGTGGCTATGTTGTTAGTGATCTGGGGTGGGAGTCTTCTGCTCTGAAAGTCATGGGTTTGTTTCACACCTCCCTGGGGAACACCTTGTAACCTGGCCAACTTGTTCTTTTACTCTTCTAGTCTGCCTCTTGCGACACAACTCGATTCTTTCCTGCCCATAGACTCAGATGATGAATGCGAAGAAGAAGGGGGTGCTAGTTTAATTTTCTATTGGCTTCCACAAATACCCTAGTACTATGCAAATTCTTCTTACCGTTTGTAATATTATTTTAATTTCTCTATCTCTTCCCTGATCTTTGACTTGCTTGCTGTCTAAACAAATGTATGAGCTTGACTGTGTGGTGATTTGTGCTCTTTTTTGGTGAACTTTCCTAAAGGCCTGAAATGGTGGTAGGATGGTACCACTCCCATCCTGGCTTTGGTTGCTGGCTGTCTGGAGTGGATATCAACACTCAACAGAGCTTTGAGGCCCTCTCCGAGCGGGCTGTCGCAGTTGTGGTCGACCCTATTCAGAGTGTCAAAGGAAAGGTTAGTATCTTCAGTTTATTATAAAATTTGTCATTGCTGTTTCTCTCTTGACAGTCGGGATCACGAAAGTGTAACTAATCTGAATACCAGATGAAGACAGCGAAGAATATGAAAGGAAAGTAGAGATGCACCCAGACACAGGCAAATGTTTCTACCAAAGTCTTTATCAAGGAACACAACAAGAATCCCACACTACAGAAAATTAATGAAAACATTCTCACACACAGGTAATCCACACAATGAAATGATCTTGGAGATTTTTAAGATTAAGAAAATAATGTTCAAACAGATGTGGGTGATTGTGAAGCTTGTTAGACAGAAAGAAACCACACACAAATTTGTAAAATTTGAGATTTCAAAGATTGAGAAAGAACACACAGATGTCTGTTATCTTGAAAACTTGTTAGACTGAGAAAGAAACTTTGCACTGAAATTGGTTGGAGCTGATGATTAAATGTTGGGATGTTTTGTTGTTGAATCTATCACAGGTGGTGGTGTTTTGTTGTTGTATCTACTGCATGTGGTGGTGTTTGTTGTTGTATTAATCACAGGTGGTGATGTTTGTGGTTGTATCTGTCACAGGTGACAACATGTTGTTGCATCTATCAAAAGTGGAGTGCTTGTTATCCTATTCATTGCATATGATGATGTTTTCTTGTATCTGTTGTATGTTGTGATTGCTGTTTATCTGTTGCAGGGGTGATGATTTTTGTATCTCACTGCAGGTGGTGATATTTTGTTCTTGTATCTATTGCAGATGGTGTTTGTTGTTTGTATTCCCTGCAGGTGGTGATGTTTTGCTCTTGTATCTATTGCGGATGGTGATTTTGTTGTTTATATTCCCTGCAGGTGGTGATGTTTTGTTCTTGTATCTGTCACAGGTGGTGATTGATGCCTTCAGGCTGATCAACCCCAACATGATGGTGCTGGGTCAGGAACCCAGGCAGACCACCTCAAACCTTGGCCACCTCAACAAGCCTTCCATCCAGGTAGGTCTGACTTCTTCACCTTCACCTTCGATTTTTTTTACTTGTGGCCAGGCTGTTTAAACTCTCCACATATACAGTGTGTTTGTAAAGTCTGACTACATATTGCATGTAGAACAAATTTGAGAAACAATGTACACGACTTTATTTTTAAAAAAAAATGTGCTCAACAGTCAGCTGTGCAGTAGTATGCAGTAAATGGCTGTTGACTGCTTGAGTGCAATTTTTTGCACTCAAAACAGAATGGTGTTATCAACAGAAGAAAGAATTTATTTGTGTTTTTGTTGGACTGGTGTTTTGAAATGATGTTAGATACACATGGATGGTTGTAGAAGGTATTTGACATTATGAAGAGACATGTTCAGTCATGTCTTATAGCCAGTGGTGGACATTTCCATGCACTTATTATAATAAATATTTTATTGATACTTTCCAGTTTCAACAAAAGAGCGTTAGACCATACATAGCAGTAACTATTGTAATTAATTTATGGACTTTTGGTACATGTATTTTTATTTTGTTGTGCATACAAAGGGTAGTGAGACTTTACAAACACCCTTTATCTTGAATCATGACCTAGTTATATTCTTACTGGTCAGAGTAATGAATACTGTCACTGTTGGAGAAATAAACTGGGGCCATTATCTTGGCAAACAAACTCACTAACAGCTGCCACAATAGCTATGTTGTTAGTAATGTGGGAGTTGGGGGGGGGGGGGGGGGGGGGGGTCCTATAGTTTAGAGTTACCAGAAACACTAGATAGTTTCATTTGGCCATTTGCCTCCTGCTCTAAAAGTAATGGGTTCGTTTCACAGATGCATCATTTGGTTAAGGATATTGTCAGAGTTGCATTGTTGCTGCTCTTGTGTGATGCTCTCAGCAGAGAGACTGAGCCATATGGGATAAAACCCAGTGCAGTGAAGTCAGTACTCTCGACTTTAACCTTACTGGGTTTGGAGTGTTTATGGTTGTTATTATTGGTTGTTACATTATGTAGGGGGTTACAGCTAGTCTGCGATATCTGCCCGTGTTTCCCAAAATCCTCAGGTTCATGACTACCCACACATAAAAAGTGTTTAAATAAGGGTAGTTTTCAAAGACACTCATTGGAAGATAAAAGAAGAAAGAAGAGAAAGACATTATTCGAACAAAGAAGTCACAAACAATAGATTGCACAATTTATTGCCTAGCATATTTTGCTGTATCTTGTCAGGTGCATACTACAGTACCAGTTACATAAATGAAGCAGACAGTGAATTGTACAGTCTTTTGTTTTTGCCTTCTTTGTTCAAATTTACAACGGGGGAAAATTGCTTTGATTTTCTGAAAAGACATTATTGTTGGTACTTTCTTCTTCTTGGCATTCACTGGCTGTAAACACCACTGGAAAGTTGCTGGTTGTTTGTTTGGTCTTGTTCCAGAACTAGATTTTTCGTGTACATATATTTTACAGTTCTGGCTTATTTGTATGCAGACTGTTGGTCCTTCATCCCTCACCTCACAGGCAGATGCACTCCAACTGTGAAGGAAGCTCCCCTCATTAGTCACCTTGTACGACATGCTTGTTAGGGAGGTGGTGGTTCCCCCCCCCCCCCTCCTTTCCCAGAATGGGGTCGTAGAACCCACACAGGGATGTAGATAGTAGTTTAACAGGCTCTGTTTTCTTTTTTTTTATTACAGGCACTCATCCATGGGTTGAACCGGCACTACTACTCCATTGCCATCAACTACAGGAAAAATGAGCTGGAGCAGAAGGTGAAATGTTTAGTACAGTTGCACTTCTTTGCCTCTTGTGACATCATGAATTTATTTTTTGTTTTTCTGTTTTTGTTGAAGAATGTGAAGTTGTACATATGGCTTTTATGTGTCTGGTTGATGTATTCATAATTACAGGGTTGTATTCCATTTGACTTTGTTTTTCTCAGATGGTATAGAGTTGTGTTTATTGTGAGGAGAGTGTGTTAATTGATTTGAAGTTATAAATTTATGGCTGTGTTAAGCTATTTATAGCTGTGTGCAATTTTGTCTGGATATTTTATAGCTGTGGGAGCTTGTGTTTACAGCTGTCTCATGTCTGGATATGTTTATAGCTACGTAAGCATGTGTTTATGGCTGTCTGGAAATGTTTATAGCTGTGTGAGCTTGTGTTCATAACTGTCTGAATTTGTTTATAGCTGTGTGAGCTTGTGTTCATAACTGTCTGAATTTGTTTATAGCTGTGTGAGCTTGTGTTTATGGCTGTCTGAATATGTTTATAGCTGTCTGGAAATGTTTATAGCTGTATGAGCTTGTTTATAGCTGTTTGAGCTTGTTTATAGCTGTTTGTGCTTGTGTTTATTATAGCTGTCTAGAAATGTTTATAGCTGTGTTTGCTTAGGTTTACGGCCATGTGGAAGTGTTTATGCCTATGAGCCTGTGTTTTCAGCTTTGAGGACTGTTTTAATGAATCTATCTTCTTCTTCTTCTTCTGCGTTCGATATCAGTCATGCTAAACATTGAGTCCCGTCTGGGTCACAAATAGGATTGTGCGTTTAAGGTCGCCACCGGTCCCCCATAGCTTCTCTTGCAATGTGGCTCCTTTGGGCCAGATCCACAGTCTTTGCTGGGAGAGGTAAGGGCAGTACTGCAGTATGTGTTCAGGGGTTTGTCTTTCTGCTCCACAATCACAGGTAGCAGATTCTTTTATGCCTATCCTGTACAAGTGTGCTCGAAGACCACAGTGTCCAGTCCGAAGTCTAAGAATTGATGTTTGTTCTTTCCTGTTGAGTTTGTTTATGCTGTCACTCTCTGGTCTGTAATCTCCATTCTGCCTTCTCCAATGAATCTATGACTATTCATGGCTGTGTGATTCTTTGTTTATAACCATTTGTGCTGGTGTTTGTAGCTGTGAGCTTGTGTTTTTAGCTAATTGTTCTTCGCATTTACTGGCTGTAAATGCAAACTCCGGCAGAAAGTTCTGGTTGCTCGTCCACTTCTGGAGTTAAGTCTTATTCCAGAACATGAGTTTTTTTTTTACAGATCTGGCTTATATTCATGTAGACTGTTCCAGTTCCTCACATCTGATGGAGATGCATGCCGGCTTCGAGAATTTTTAGCTACAGGGTTCCTGACCGTTTGATATGTTATGCTCACAGCTGTTTGGGATTATGTTTGCAGCCACATGAGAATGTTCATATCTGTGTGAGCTAGTGTTTTTAGCTATTGAGGACTGTGTCCTTATCCATATATGTGTATGCAGAAGGTTTACTGTTAGTTGTTTGTACATTGAGGATCACTGTCATTTAACTTCTTATGTGTTGTATCTAGGGCTGTACCGAATATTCGCTTCGTATTCGCTTCGGGGACGAATAGTGGACCTACTAGCTATTCCGTATTCGGCCGAATAGTGGCGGTCGGGCCGAATACGAATAGTGATTTCTGCATACACTGCGATGGACTAAAATAACTCTCTCATTAATAATGTCACAATTTATAGCCGACTTTTCTTGATTTTCGCCGCGGCACCCCTGTCGTACGCACCCAGTTTTAGAACCTCTGCTGTAATGCCTTGGAGTTAGGCGCTGTTACCACGCAAACGGGTCGCCGTTTTTCCCGCTACGAAAGATTTAGGCATCGCTACTGTTGTGTTAAAGAAGGCATGAAGAAACTTGAGAGTGTATCTGTGTGTGTGTGTGTGTGTGAGAGAGAGAGAGAGACAAAGAGAAAACATGCATTTTTTTGTTCTTTCGGGATGTCTTATCCCAAATTAAATTGAAGATATCGCAAACGAGAATATGAAGGTGCATTTAAATTACATTGAACAAACGCCTGAACAAAAATGATTTAAATGCAAATTTGGCACATGGATAAAATCAGATGAAAGATGCATTACTAAAATAAAAAACAAAATAGGACAGGCTAAAAATGCATTTTATATTTTAAAAAAAAAGAACATCTTGTGCAATATATCGTTATCTTGCTTGCTACATACATCCAGTTTTAACATATGGCTATGAGTCCTGGACAATCGGTAGCCAGGCCAAACAATTTTTTGAGGCCTCAGAGATGTGGTTTTACAGAACAATGCTTAAAATACCTTGGACAGCTTAAAAAAAGCAACCGCTAGGTTTTGAAAGAGGCGGGAGCCCGAAGACAACTAATCGCAGACATCAGAAGAAGACAGTCATCATATAGAAAGAGTGAAAATGGAACATGTGGTGACCACTGGAAAGATTTGTGGAAGGAGAGATAGAAAAAGACAACGAGAGAAGATTCTTGACAGTCGTTGCATGTCATGGAGGTGTGTCAGCACACAAACTGATACATGCTGCAGGAGATCGCCACACCAGTCGGCGAGGCACCTGATGATGATGATACACTATTCGTATTCGGCCGAATAGTTGGTCCCACTATTTGTATTCGGCCGAATAGTGAAAACCACTATTCGGTACCGCCTTAGTTGTATCAGAATTTGACCTGGCTGTATTGCCTGAAAATTGACCAACTTTGATTTATCTGAATTCTATCTGCTGTATAATGCTAAAATATTACCACTTCTATTGTAGAATCAGAATTTAGCTACCTGTACTCTAGTCAGATTTTGAGCAGCTGTGTTATGTTTCAGATGTTGTTGAACTTGCATAAGAAGAGTTGGGTGGACGGCCTACAGCTGCAGAACTACTCTGAGCATTGTTCCCTGAATGAGACAACTGTTGGGGAGATGCTAGAGCTGGCCAAGAACTACCACAAGGTACAGTAATGTTGTTGGAGAGTTTCCATAGTGCAGTGATTTTTGTCCCCTTCTGGTTCAGATGTTAGTCTCCTTCTGGCTCAGATGTTCATTCGTTCATTCAGTTTTTTTATGTGAAGATGGAAGTCTTTACTCTGAATAGTTCACATTTATTGGTACTTATGCTTCATATACAAATGCTGATATAATGTATTAACAGACTCTGTTTATGTCCTACCAGGCGTTAGAAGAGGAAGAAACAATGACCCCAGAACAACTAGCCATCAAACATGTGGGGAAGCAGGACCCAAAGCGCCACCTGGAGGAAGCCGTCGGAGTGATTATGACCAAGAATATTGTCCAGTGCTTGGGTGCCATGCTGCACACCGTCGTCTTTAAATAAACGAAGCTTTGTGTTGTACATTATTTTTGTTTCGTTTTCTATGAGTTCAAACAGTGCGTTTGTTGACATTTGTGTGCTTTTATCAGGTTTGTTCAGTCTTTGATGAAACGGTGTCCTCCCTTGCATTATTTGGTTTGTTGGATTGGTTCATTTCTTGGTGAAACAGTGTTTATCTGCTTCTTGTGCTTTTACCCTTATAAGGGCGATTGGAACGTTATGTTGTGGTGTACAGCTAGGCTGTAATATCCGCACCTTTCAGCCAAACGCAACCATTTTCAACAAAGCCCTAATTAGTTGCCTTTTAGGGCATGCTTGTTTCACAGGGCACTGAGTCTCTGTTTCCTCCCTCAAAAATGGGGACCTCAAATTTTCTCTTGAAGTTGACGAACTTCAGGGACCTTTTGCTGGAATTTACAGCCGGTTAATGAGAAGAAGTGGACATCAAAACCCACACAGGGAAACAGTGTATCATAATTATCTGTACAGCTTTTTGATGAGTTTCTGTTTAGTGGGAAATTAGGTTTTGTTAGTTAAATAATTCTGTACCATACAGACCATACACTGTTACCCTTGTCATCTGCTGTATTCGCCGTTAAAATGGTGGTTGGTATATTATATTGTAGTTTACAGCTAGGGTCTGATAACTGCACTGAGGTTTTGAACAATGGTTCAACATCATGGCAAACGAGTGTAACCCATTGATGCTCCGTTCTTCTTCTAACTCAAGTCCAAAGAAGCTCAGCACAGTTCACAGGCTCTGTAGCACCAGCGAGGATCCTGAAATACTTTGGGTAAATTTTAACTCCAATTTTTGCCCGAGCAGTGCCATTAGGCTACTCTTTTTATTTCCAACTGCCAAGGAAATTTTTATGTTCTCAGCAGTGCACATGGGCGTCCAATCTCACTACCCAGAGACCAGGGGGAATTACTAGAAGTCCACGTGAAAAAATCCCAGCCCTTAGGGGGTTGAACCAGGAACCTCTAGCACTTGAGGCGGACACCACACCATGTCTTGAAACCATGCAGCCCCCTCAGCTATTTCTCTGCTCTGTCACCCAACAAATTCACTTTCTGTAAATCCTTAATTTGTTGCTTTTTACAAGATGCTTGTTAAGGAACTTTGAGTTTATTCTTTATTTTTTTTTAATACCTAAAAATGGGACCCCTGCAACTCACTAGGAGTATTTCCTATATAATATTGTTTCATCTTCTTTTTCTTGTACACACATTATCTAGTTGTTATTTTAACTTTTTCTGCAATTGTTATTTTGGAAAATACTCTTTTGTGTGCTTTTAAGTCAGAGTGCATCTGCCTGAGAGGTGAGAAACCAATAGTCTGCCAGATCTGTAAAATGGATGTCCACACAACACTCAAAGTTCTGGAACAGACCAAAGTCTAGAAGTGGGTGGACAACTAGAATTTTCCGCTTGAGTTTACAGCCAATGAATGTTAAGATGAAGCTGAAGATTTCATTGATGGCTGCTTGTCATACATGTGTGTCTATAGTAGTTATATTATGTGTTATATTATACTCTTATGAATGCTATTATTGGCTTTTTTCATATAAATATTTACAGTTTAAACAATTTGATGTGAGAGTGACAGTTGTATACGTAAGGTATTATAATATGGGTGGCATGAATGTGTTGGATAGTGTGTAGGTGGGTGTGGATATCATGTGTGTGTATGTTAGCTAGCATGTGTGTATAGGTATTTTGTGTTTTTTTTTAGGTGGCATGTGTGTGTATGTTAGATGTCTACTGTGTATGGTGAGTGTGCTAGATGGTATGTGTGTATGGATGTTTGTGTGTTTAAAGGTGACATGTAAATGTTAGTGGACATTGTTCCCATTAAGTGGTGTGTTGGTTGGAAAATTCTTGTTTAGATAGGTTCTGGTTAATGTTAATTATCTTGCACTGTCTTTTCTGCCAGCACCGAAATGTTGCTGGTTAATGTTAATTATCTTGCACTGTCTTTTCTGCCAGCACCGAAATGTTGCTGTGGCCAGTAAAAAAAAAAAAACAGTAGTAACACCTGTAAGACCTGCTCTGTTGGGGTCCTTGCAGAACCTGACTTTTTTCAGAAATGACCTTGGCTCCCAGCCTTGAGTAGGTACTAGGTGCAGTCCTGGGAAGTAAAGGCGGTCAGCATAATGCTGACCGCATCACCCACCAAGTGCTGATTGGTCTATACAATATAGGTCTAGCCCTATATTCCCAAAAATTAGGCTTGAAGGCGTGGAAAAAAGGTCCTTGACTTTCATATTTTCAACACCTGCTCTACTTGTTGTAATGTTATGGTTTATGGTGTGTTATTACAGCCAGCAGCACTGCACATCAGGCATTCCCATGCATGCTCAGTCCTCCGGAGCAGCAGTCACTTCAGGGTTCCGCTACCTATTGTTCTCAAGAGGAGCTATTATGTCTCCTGTCTCCTCCATTAAACTAGTCCGTACAGTGATGATGATATTTGTTCTCTCCTTGCTTCTTCCAACATGTGTTAGTGCATTTATATTATTACCAGTTGGTTCATTCATTTGTTACCTTTCACACCTGCATAGCGAGGTGTGTAGGGGCTGGCAAGAGAGGTCAAATGCAACTAGCTTTCTACCCACTCAGAGCGCCTACTACCTGCTGTTATGTTCTGAAGCATATATAGACTCATGTCGACCTTGACCTGAGCTTCATGGACCCATCTGCGTAGATGGTGATGCATGTTTTAAAGGGCAGTAGATGATGATGCTTGTCATAAAGGGCAACTAAGGAGGTTTGGCATGATACTGGTGACCTCATCCTGTAGAAAGCTAGCTACACAAGAATTGGTATGAGTGACTGAGGGCCTTGGTTCTTTTACAAGAGGAAAATGCGGATCTGGACAAGTTACTCTTACTTAAGATAGAATAGGATAACACACACTCAATAGTTACATGTTAAAGTTAAAGCTGAGAGAATGGACTTTAATGCACTGGTTTGTTCCACATAGCTCAGTCTCTCTTCATGGAATGGCTATTCGCCCGTGGGCTTGCTGCACAAAGCACAAAATCCAGCTACAGAGCAAAGGATATGCATAAAAATTGCACTCATAAACTGAACGACTCGTCTGTGAAATGAACCCATGGCTTCAGAATGCAAAAGCTCGACCACTTCGTCACAGCGACCCTCTGCTTACTTACTTAGTCGATCCTCTTCTATCTTGGGTTGTATAGATGTGACAGAGAGATCGCCAGACTTCTCTGTCTGCCTCTGATTTAGCCAAGAGGTCCACATCATCTGCAAATGCCAACCCTCAAAAACAGATTGATCTCATTTTCTAGTACCCTACTGAGTACTTCGTCTTTTCTTTACAGGTCTTGATGACATCATCCATTAGAAGAGTAAAGAGGTAGGCTGAGAGAATATCACTTTGTCCAACACTACTAGTGATCTTAAATCCCTCTGACTTTTGGTCTGCTGTTCTTACAGAACTCATAATTTCTGCAGCTTTTATAGAAACTCTGTATTGTGCTGATCAGGGGTGCTGGAATGTTTTTCCCTGCTAAGAAGTCCCAGATCTTGCTCTATGAACCTTTATCAAATGCCTTTTCTAAATAAATAATAACAATTTAAAAAATCAAAAAATCATGGGTGCACCAAATTTTTATATTCAAGGTTTTTGTCATTCATATGTCTGAGTGTGAAGATAGGTCTTGATGTCATGAGATGAGCAGCCACCATACACAGTGGGCAAGTCGGGACTTGATATCCCTCGCACTCAGCAAGATTTCAAACTTAGACCCGTCTGGAAAGGTATATAGTCCCTTATATTGATCTATACCTTTATCTGGTAAAATAGTAATTTCTGGACCCTCTAGTTGCTTTGATATATCTTCATTTTCAAACTTGCAACTGTAGATTGGGGAATTCTAGTAGTTTATTTGAAAATTCCTGGAAACGGGTTTACTCCTTGAATACAAGGAACTTCTTTCCTAGTGACGCAGGTTTGAATTTGAGAACGCCATTCTTTCGCCTGATCCCAAAGTGTCAAGACGTGTATCCAGTCTTAGTAGAATTTGGCGCCTTCATAGTTCCAGTTCTAACTTGGAAGATTTCCTAAGCTTGGGATGAGACCTCTGTAGAGATCAGGCAGACGAATCACAGTCCAGCCAACAACCAACAACACATACCATTCTATGCACCAAGCATAACCATGTCCAGCCCTGTATGCCACTACCTCCAAATGGCAAGAGCGTGTTTTTGAGCTCCAGGACGAGTGAACATTTGCAGACGTTGTGTCATTCATCTAGTGAACCAGTCTTTAAGAGCTTGGTTGGGCTCTGAGACAGTTTTTGTGACCTGACCTGTGAGAGAGACTTGTTGAGTCCCTATGCAGTTTCTGTGTCCTCGATGGTGAGGAAATCAACTGAGACTAGATCAACTAGAGGCATAGATACCTGAGTCAACTCCAGTCGAATCACTATGGACTGAGAGGAGCATCGACCTACGAACTGGGCTAAGTGATCGTTTAATCATCATCAGGCTCTCTTCCCACAGCTCCGCAAGATTCCAATGATGAACTCATGTATTTCTCAAGACTATATCTGGCTGCTTCAATGTCTGGGTCGTGTCACTGAGTCCTGAGCTTCAGTCTATGAACATTCTTGAGAGTCTATTCTTTAATGCATGTGTAAATATTATACTTATTACATGCATAAATTTTCATGGCTGACTTGGGTGTCCCTATTTCACCATTCTGTCTAGCTTTGATGTTTGTGTGAGTAATAATTTTTATCTGTGTTAACATGGTTATGATAGCAAACTGTCATAACCTGGGGGTTATCTTTTTATAGTAGTGGGGGTGTCCAGCCAAGTGTGCCTAGGAATATTATATATTTTGTAGTGCCAATACTTAAGTTGCCCTACTCCTGAAATAAGTTGAGCGTATATTGGCCACGGGCATCCCCTAGACCAATACGAGCCAAACGACTCAACATAATTATTTCAGAGTGCTGTTGGTTTTTAAG